GAATGATTAGGTAAATTTAAAAAAATTCAGTGACCTCATCAGAATTCCATCCCGCGACCTTCCTGCTTGTAGCATAGTACCTCCACCAACTACGCTACCGCGTAATTAAAATTTAAAATTTGTATTTGCTTGTAATAAGCCAAAATGTTTGGTGCTTAGCCGAGATATGAAATCGGGATTAAGAGCTCAGTTATATCTGCAGAACTTTGGGAGCCTAGATCAGATCAGTGCTTGGAGCAAGGACTGGACCATGGCAACGTGTCCTCCATTACTGGCCAGCAACTGGACGGAGAACCAGACAGTCATGCCACTTACACATGCGAGAAAACATGTTGCATATGTGGAACTCAGACCGTAGAAAACGGTCAATTGACCACAGAAACATGTAGTCACTTCGAACTAGGAGTATATAATAGGAAGAAATAAAATTATCACGTCAAGGAATGAAACTCGCTTTAGACCTGGAGGATTCAGTAAAACGCTCTAATGAGAGCAGAGAGTAGAATAATAAAACTCGAGGCAATAATTTATACAGTGAATGGAAGCTCATGGTTTAGAGTCATTCTTTATTATTCGATAGTAACGCATCCCAACAATCACCCATCTCTTACGAACCGAATTGTCCGTACCGCATTCCCAGGACCCCATTGTTGTTATCTGCAAATTCTACCCTGAGACAATTATTTCAGTACGCATCCACCCACACTGTTTCTTTCAGATTCATTCTAATTGTATTCTCCTATCTACGACAGGTCTCGCAAGTGGTATTTCATCCTCTAATTTTTCTATAAAATGTGTGCATTTGGCCCCTCCTCCCTCAAGTAATTGGTTTGGTCACAGTGATAATATTTAAACTATATTCAAAAACGAAAAACAAAACAAACACCGTGGCCTTTAGTCCTTAAGCAAACTATACCGACCGAGCGACCGCCGCTTGTCGGCGAAGTTAGTGCCAATATTAGCGGATAGAGGGTGTCGCGTGTTCAGCGCAACGGATCCCCACGGCCGTTAATCTCGGTTTTCTAGATCGGAGTCGATATTGCCTTGAAATAGCTCATCAGTTATCCTTACGAGGATGAGTAGACCCCGTTCCAGACCCACTACTTCTCAGAAAACCTGGTAGCGCCGGGAATCGGAAAACATAATTCTTAAATCCCTTAAGATTACAGAGTATAATGAGACCGCTGCAGTATAGAGGAACGGTAGGACTATATCTTCCGCTGTCATTAGTAGAAGTTGCACACTTAGGCCAAAGGAAGGGTGAAAATTTTCGGAAGTAATTACAGCTGACACCGCTGCAGACATAACTTCAGTCTACTGAAAGAATGAGTGTGAGCATGTTGAAAGGATGGGAGGTCATCACTTCTCAAAAAGAGTTCTGAATGCTGGTGCAAGAGTAACACGGTGAATTGACTGAAATGGGGTTTTAATGGGGACAGAAAGGGCTATTGGACCAAATACTTGAAATTGTTCTATTAATATAATATTTTCTCTCCGTCTGCACATTTAATTGTGCAGTATTTCGCAATATTGATGAAGTATGTTTCAGTCTGTGGTCATCATAAGGTTTTATGATATCGAATCGGGTATGCAGTTAACATACGAATAATTAGTTCTACTTCGGTAGTCTGTTAATGTGTCCATTCGTGTAACCGTTAAAATAGTGTAATTAAAACTGATTACGAGCCGGGATTAAAAATTACTGTTTGATAAATTTGTTTAGTTAAATATCAGTTCAAATGCAACATCAAAGTCTAAAACTGTTAGTCTTAGTTGAAGTCATATATTATTCTATTTCGTGGTTAAGGCTCTATGCTACAAGTCTGAAGGTCGCGGGTTCAAATACCGATGAGGTCATTGGATTTTTTTTTTCAGTTGACCTAATCCTTCCGGCCGCACTATGGCCCTGGGTTCACTCAGCCTCTAACAGAAATGAGTACCAGGAATTGAGCGGCCGGCGCGTAAGGCTGACAACCTTACCGCCATCTTTGAGCCGATTGTCTAGATAATTTGGGACCCTTAACGTCTCACAACCCTATGGGCCTTCGTGGCCTCTTACAGGGATAGCTTTACTTACTTTACCCGCATAAAGCCTGTTGAAATTTCAGCTGTAAATTGTTGCGTCACTGGGATCATCCTCCTCGTAGTTCCCACTGTACTTATGTCACCGCAAAGCTCTCTCATACATGGCTACTCAAGAGGGACGCTTGGAAATGAACGCTATGAAGTTGACAGGCAACAGCTACAGTTATACTGCGATATTAACATCCTGGTGGAGCTGCTATCTTGTAGTGCCCATTGAACTTTACTTCAGAAAAGACGGACAGTGTCGTATCGACTCAAGCATGCTTTCCACAGCTGTTTGTTGTTGTTATATTCTGCCCGTACTTGTCAATATACATGTACGTACATAAGTTAGAATGGCAACCGTTATCATTAAGCCTGTGCTTTGTTGCCCTCTGCAGTATGGCTGCTAATGTGTCATACTTATTTTGAAGCACTGTGATATAAAACTGAATGGGTTGCCATGCTTGGCGATATATCAGATCCCTCGTTGTGACTCTCTCATTAAATTCCCATTCATGCGCGAAGTTCTGATGTGTTCATGATTCTGAATGTTCAAATCCCTGGGAAACGAACATAGACTATTTGCTGAGAAAGAAAGTATGCACTTCCATCATTTTGTTAATGTAATACGTATGTCTTCCCGATTTCACAATTTTAGGAATCTAAAGGATTTCAGAAAAAAAAANCGCTATACAGATGGCGCTATCCCAGCTCTCGCGGTCAGATGTATTATTCTAAATATGCAGTTAACATACGAATAATTAGTTCTACTTCGGTAGTCTGTTAATGTGTCCATTCGTGTAACCGTTAAAATAGTGTAATTAAAACTGATTACGAGCCGGGATTAAAAATTACTGTTTGATAAATTTGTTTAGTTAAATATCAGTTCAAATGCAACATCAAAGTCTAAAACTGTTAGTCTTAGTTGAAGTCATATATTATTCTATTTCGTGGTTAAGGCTCTATGCTACAAGTCTGAAGGTCGCGGGTTCAAATACCGATGAGGTCATTGGATTTTTTTTTTCAGTTGACCTAATCCTTCCGGCCGCACTATGGCCCTGGGTTCACTCAGCCTCTAACAGAAATGAGTACCAGGAATTGAGCGGCCGGCGCGTAAGGCTGACAACCTTACCGCCATCTTTGAGCCGATTGTCTAGATAATTTGGGACCCTTAACGTCTCACAACCCTATGGGCCTTCGTGGCCTCTTACAGGGATAGCTTTACTTACTTTACCCGCATAAAGCCTGTTGAAATTTCAGCTGTAAATTGTTGCGTCACTGGGATCATCCTCCTCGTAGTTCCCACTGTACTTATGTCACCGCAAAGCTCTCTCATACATGGCTACTCAAGAGGGACGCTTGGAAATGAACGCTATGAAGTTGACAGGCAACAGCTACAGTTATACTGCGATATTAACATCCTGGTGGAGCTGCTATCTTGTAGTGCCCATTGAACTTTACTTCAGAAAAGACGGACAGTGTCGTATCGACTCAAGCATGCTTTCCACAGCTGTTTGTTGTTGTTATATTCTGCCCGTACTTGTCAATATACATGTACGTACATAAGTTAGAATGGCAACCGTTATCATTAAGCCTGTGCTTTGTTGCCCTCTGCAGTATGGCTGCTAATGTGTCATACTTATTTTGAAGCACTGTGATATAAAACTGAATGGGTTGCCATGCTTGGCGATATATCAGATCCCTCGTTGTGACTCTCTCATTAAATTCCCATTCATGCGCGAAGTTCTGATGTGTTCATGATTCTGAATGTTCAAATCCCTGGGAAACGAACATAGACTATTTGCTGAGAAAGAAAGTATGCACTTCCATCATTTTGTTAATGTAATACGTATGTCTTCCCGATTTCACAATTTTAGGAATCTAAAGGATTTCAGAAAAAAAAAATATTTAGCTCCGAGAAATACTCAGTTTGTCTTCAAAGAGTTGAACTTTCTTTTTTCTTTCTTTCAGAGGGGCAGAAAGAGACATAATCCACAGGGGTATTGAAGTTATTATTGTCAGTAAAGCAGTGTTTTCTGTGGGTCTGTCCGACTACAGGAAGCAACACAATAGGTTTTATATTAATGCGAATTTTTATCGCGTACAGGCTTACTGCACAAGTTCGCTGGTGCCACCCAACAGAAGCGGGATTCCAACCATCTCCACCACTTCCAGATCAAGTCTAGGACAACACAACCTGCCGCCTATCCTTCCTCGGGGATAAAGTGTTCGGAGCACTGAAGTTTTGCCTACACCCCCCCCCCGCCATATGTTTTCACATCATAGCGCTCAAACAGAGCAATATTAGGATCTTATGACCCAATAATACATCATAATTATCTCTGTGAGCATAGTTCGTAGCCCAACCGAAGCTGGAACAAAATATTTCTGAAACACAACCTTGCGATGTGACTACTACACCAACTGCTTTATCTTGTGTAGTTAACATGAAACATGGCCGCATGTTCAGAATGATGGTTCTCTTCATCGCATCGCATACTGTGTTACCGCAGTCAGATGTAAAAAGGGTGAAGTTGTCCCTGTGCCTAACTAATTTGCACTACGCCATGGAGACTTATGGGCAAGTATGAGTGGTGAGCTTAACCCTCCCTCCGCTTCACCCCCAGGGAAAGAGCTCCAAGTTCTCATTGGATAGGAGGCTGGGTGGAGGCTGTGTGGAGCCTAGAACCAATCTAGACCACATGCAGAGCAGAAGATCTTGCTTTCACCGGGACTTCTGGGCCGTCCAGTCCATAGGCAGTCGCTATACAGATGGCGCTATCCCAGCTCTCGCGGTCAGATGTATTATTCTAAATATGAAGTTGTTATTCAGTAGGACCAGCGAGTCATCTGTCATTTAAAATTCGCTCGTCTTGTATATACTCATACTTTTTAGATTAAATTCTGAGCTGGTTATTTCTCTTTAATTACAGATACTGCAGGAAGAGAAAGGCATACTGTTGTCTCTGGAACAGTGCCTGAAACAAAGGTGCTCCGAATTGGAAGAAGAGGTGGCTACTCTCCGTTCCTCCCAGTCATCCAAACGGCAGCACGGGAGTAAGGGTACTGTTGAAGACTCTTCTAAACAAGGATCTGGTTCCACTCCAGCTGAGGATGAAGGCATCAGTTCTTCAGACCAAGATCAGTCCCTGTCTCAGGATGAAGACTCTGGTGACATTGAACGAGAGCCAATGGTATATGAACTATTTGCTGTCCAGAATGACACAATCCTCGTTGAGAGAAATGGATTGAGAAAAAATGGAAATAATGACATCGTCATGAAAGAAACAAGTGTAGATCAACTAGATGATGATGATGACGTGTCAAAACGTGGTGATGATGATGATGAAGATGAAACAACAATTGATGAAGTTATAGAAGAATTAAGGAACATTATAAACGATGCTGAAACAGAAGCATATGCAGCTGAGGCCGCTGAGAAAGCTGCAGCAGTTAAAATGAAGCAGAAGGAGCTTGAAGAGAAATGGGATGAGGCAAAGAAAAAGACTAAGAAAATAGACTTAGAGACAGGTAAGAACAAAAATCATCATAAAGTATCACCTTATCAACATCATCACCATCATCATCAACAACAAACTGATTCCAAGAAACGTTCTTCTGGGAAATATGGTAAGCAAGTGACATCTATAGAAATCCAGCATCCATCATCAGAAGCTGAGGTTGAGATCGTACCAACATGTCTTCTGCCACAACCGCCAAGAAGAGCTCGAAGTCTGGTTCATTTACTCCTGAATCCAGGACGGGATGTCTATATTGATGATACTGGAACTGGTCAGAATCCCTTCTTTGATGATGAAACTCCAAGTCACACCAGTGAGGAAGACTCTGATTCGCTACTGAGTGCTGCCAGAGAAAGAAGCACTACTTCAACAGCTACTGGAAGTACATGTTTTCATAATAAGGATATTCAAAGGACATGCCTTGTTGATACCAGCGAGACAAGCAAGGGAAGCGGTCATTTGCTTCAGCTCTTCCAACAGCCCTGTGGAAATGATGATTATAGGTACAAGGTAACAGATAGTAAGACCAGCACCTCTGCAAAACAGTGTAGCCTCCAGAGCGGCAAGGAAAGCAGTAAGAGAAACAGTGGTAACACAATACAGAATATGAAGTTCAAGGCCAATAATAAAGCCTCAGCTGCTGTGGTTATTAAACACAGTGAGTCCTTCCATTACAAGAGCCATGAAGAACAGCATCAGCGGGCTAAAAACAACGGCCAACAGGAATGCCAGTATAAAACAAAGGAGGAAGTAATCGATAATCAGAGATTCTCATCAAAAGAGGACGTTTCTGAGAACAGAAGATTAATACAAAAAGATGAAGTTTCAGGAAATAGAAGGCCATCAACAAAGGATGAAATTTCAGGCTGTAGAAGAGTAAAATCAAAGGAAGATTTTTCAAGAAGCAAAAATCTAAGGTCAAAGGATGAAAGTTCAGAAAGTAGACCAATTTCAAGACAAAAGTGTGGAAGTTTTGATGGTTTATTTTATGTGACAGATCTCTCAAATTCTCCAGAAATAACTCCAAAACAAAAACATCAGAGATCACCGTCTTCGGAGACGAATTTTTCTGGTGCACATAAAGAATTGGTAAACCCATCATTTTCTGCAAAGAAACTGAAGTCAAAGAGCTTGGACCGCATTGATGAAGGATTAGATTCGCTTGTAGATATTGTTATGACTTCATCTGACCGAGGACGCAGTAGAACGAGCAGTGGAAGAGGCTCAACTGAGGACTGGAGCTTAGAGTGGGGAAAGAGTTATCTTGAATCTCGGTCCAGAAGGAGTTTAACGGATGCTGCTGTGGCTTACAGCACTCCCCCACCTGTTGTCATTGTACCAAGGTCATCATCATCTCACAACCATCATTCATCACAGCCATCATCCTTGCAGTCATACAGAGACTGCCATAACATTTGCTTCCCCAGGCATCATGATAATGAACCCTCTGCAGTGTCTAGCAATAAACGATATCCTCCAGATGGATCATGTCACCCACTCTTCCTTCCATCATCCCCTAGCAAAGGGAGTTCTTTTGAATCCATTCCTCAGCTGAATCACCAATCACCAACAAACTCCCATAGTAAAACTGGTATAACCAGCAGTAAGTCATTCGTCATCAAGAGAGGACATATAAATGCAGGGTTATATTCAGGGTTTCATGTTAACAGGGGCTCACCAGCACATATGCTGATGAAGCCACAAATGGTGACACCTGCGAGAGAGTACTGTAATAAGTCACACTCGTCACCTGTTAGCTCTCGTAATTCAGGTCATATGCCACCGGGAAAAGTCACAGACCTTCCTTCCGGACTGTACTGAGAGCACAAATTCAAGCCATTTTCTGTGTGCATTACTGTCTGTTCCAGGTTTTGGCAGTGATATTTAACTTATATGCTCAGAGTTTTATTACTGGAATTGGAAATGTTGTCTGTGCAGAGGTGAATACTGAATAGAGGAGCCAACAAAATTGTGGAGGTATATCATGCTCCAACTGCCCAGCATTCATCTCACCTAATGATTCTCTAAAAATTTCTAACTGCAGTTAATTATTGACCTGATTCTATTCCTGTTATCAGGATATTGTTTATAATTACACAGATAGGTATTTCTTCTTTGTTGTTTATGTCTTCATTGTTACTGGTAGTCAAACCCAGAATCCTTTGAGCATTAGAAATTTGCGTTGACCACAAAACAAAGTGTTGCCTACCTTGTTTTGCTAGATGAGCAAGGACTCCTCCTCCTCCTCCTCTTCCTCTTCCTCTTACTCTTCCTCTTCCTTCTGTACTCAATACAACATATTTTTTGGTCATGTTTCCTCTGTTATTTGTTTAGTATGGCCACACCATCTCAATGCTCTATGTTCTATGTCTCTAAATATTAATAAAGTGATATCCATTTTGTGTTTCATGCCTCACTCTGTTTTCCTTTGCCATCTGAAAAAAATCTTTAATACTGGAATCACTGATCCTTATTTTAGCTTGTAATTCATCAATCAATAGCCACATTTCACCTCAATTATAACAGAATGGTTTAAACTACATATACTGTGAACAATTAAGAAAGCATTATGAATATTTTTAAATTTTTGTGGATAAAAGAGCCCGTTCTTAGAACACCAAGCTGCCTCTGGGCATGTGGTTTCCTCTAGTATTGAAAATAAAAGCAACAGAACAATCCTGATTTCAGGCTTTCATAGTGGTTCATTTTTATGTTGATCCCTCTCTTGGGTATTTGCACCATCTGGAAGTGGACTTTGTTGCCGATGTTCTGGAGGAACTGGCAACCTCCATTTATGGAATAAAAATTCAAGGTGCAAATACCTGAAAAGGGGCAATCATCAAAAATAAAATATTACCTTTCAGTATAATTACAATCACCTGATGATGACAGTCTATCAGAATCCTGAATTGTGTACGAGTATATTGCCGCATGCTAGTGACTACACAACAGTGTTTTTATTGGTAATTGGATTTATTGAACGCTTATAAACAGTAATTACAACTAAATATAGTGCTCTCACTAAATCACACACTTGACTTCTCAATACAGCACATGCTTAGCCCTCTCAGTTTGTCTTCACTAGACGTTTCTAGCTTTTGGCTCCTAACAACATAGCTTCCTCAGCTTCTGTGTTTACATCCTTATGGGCTGGCAACTATCTCACAACTGACAGCTTCAAGCCAAAGGAACATTACAAGTGATGGTCAGTTGGCCAGTCGGTCTCGGAGTCATATCCCTCACAACCCTATGGGCCTCCATGGCCTTTTACGGGGATACCTTCACATTTTTACTAGATAACAGGAGAATATAAAAACAGTAAAAAACTAGTTAGGTGAAAAATTACTAAATGGTATGGGCATTTCTTAAATGAAAGAATAATGATTACCGTGCCAGGCACTGGAATGGAGTCCGGTAGGACAACAGAGAAAGAGTAGACAGTCTAGAATAAGAATACAGTAAAACTAATGAAGGAATAAGCCTGCCAAGGGAAGATGAAAATTGTGAAATATGAAAATATGGCCTGGGTAACACATCAACAAAGCAGAAGGATATATCACAGTGAGACCTGCAACTTTTTTTGGAACAATTGTGTGCTGAATATTTAGTAGAATCAAAGAAATAGTGTCTGATGTCAAGCAGAATGATATCTATTGTGTGATTAACTTTGCAACAGCGCATTTTATTCTGCAACAAATCAATATCAAGGCCAAAAAGGATTGAAAAAATTCCATTCATAAAATGTGTGCTATATTTATATTATTCCATTCTTTTTCTTATTTAGACTAACATTAGGATTTATTTCATAGTTAAAAATTATGTTTTAATAATAACAGAATTACTGCTTTAGCAAATAAGAATTTTATAAAAATGTTATTAAAATGTAACATATATTTATACTTATGATACTTACGAGATATATATCAGAGTGCAATATTTATAGATTTTAAACTAGATATATATACATAGAGATGGATAAAGCTTAACATTTTAAAATATGTACCTGCCATAGTAATACTGAGAAGTCATATTTTACATACTGTCTTACAACATGTTGCTGTGTGGTTGACAGTAGAAAACTGACACATTTTAGTCTGCAGTTCATCATTTATCTAAATTGGTGAAATAATAAGATTTCAGGTTCTCATGGCATGACGTATCCATATCATGGTCCTCTGGGATATAATGCTGTGTAGCTTAACAGATGTGAACCAATCGTCTCAAATGTGAAGTTGTGTACCTTGTGATAGGTACCACTATACCACACCACATAGCATCACATCCCAGGTGACACTGATCTCAATGTGTAACTGTTCTTAATTATTTCTCATATGACTCCATAATGTAATGACCACTCAGCATTTTAGTTGGCGATGTCAGTATGTACATAATTGCAATTATGGATTCACTGAGGTGGAAATTGTGTTTAGAATGTATAGAAATTTATAAAATACCCTTGTTTCTTCATGGCAGCAAGTGAAGTGACAGAAATTTATTTGCTGTTTTTAATTATTATAAAATTTTTTGATATGAAGTGTCTTATGTCATGGGGATGCAATATAACAGTAGCAGTTTTTGTGTGCATTTCATTATGAAGCAGAATGGTATGGGTGTAGTGATACATTGGTCTTTTGACATTGTGTAACTTCTTAAGTTGAAGTATTGCTCTTAAATAACCTAAGAGTGAATTATATTTTATGTGTGTTCAATTTAAAATTTCATGTTGTACAGTGCTTTCCTTGTTACTAATTTATTGTGTAATTGAAGGCACATTGAAACTTTTGGAAAGCCAGAGAATGGAAACAAATTCTATGAATAATACAGATATGAAGTGATCATAGGGTGATTATAAACATTACAACAAAGTCAATGTTCTTTTTCTAAGAAAAATTCTAGTACTCACAATTGTTGTGTAGATTCATCACCTTTTCAAGTTTTTTGACAAAGAAAAATAGATCTTGTAATATCAAGAAACTGATTTCACGTTTGAAAGCCACCAGCATGACTACATCTTGTCTATATAGCTTGCTAAAATGAAATTAATTTTCAGTCCATTATTTTCTTTGTTTTAGTAAAGGATTTCTATTTTATTTGTTAGACTTATTTGGCAGCACAATGTCCCACTGTACATTACCAGAAAGACATCCTTTCCTCAGAACTCAGAAGTGCCAAGTGTACCATACATTTACTTCATCCACAACAAACTAATCTTTCAAAGTTTTCATGCATCATCATAAGGTTTCTTGGAGCTCACCTACTCTGATTTTATTATTATTATTTCAATCTTTCAGTCATAGTAGATTTTTAAGTACACTAAGAAAATTAATAAAATTTTTACAAATACAGGTAATATTGCAACCACACTGTAGGGTGACTTCTGATGGTAGTAACATTTCTGTTTTCAGTAAAATTATGTCTTCAAATATAACTTTCCAACAGAATCAGATTTACAATGAGACTCTGAATCACAGCTGTTAATTTCAAGATATTTATTTATTGTACTAAGATTGTCTATTATTATATCCTAGAAATATATCACATTTTTGCAGATTCATACTACTTGCTGTCATGTATATACGTAGTACATTTCCATTTAAAGATGTATGTTCAGTATTACCAGTTATATTTTTAGCTGTAATGGAATTCATTCATTCATCAGTAATCTGTCAAGACGACAGGTCCACAGTCTCTTCCAAAACAGTTCCTCCACTTGATGCGATCTAGAGCTTTCTCCTTCAAATGAGACATCTCGCATACATGGCATCTCTGGTTTTGGAAAGAGACTATCCAGGAAAATTGATAATGTGGTAGTTTTTCCATTTGCTTTCCACATCGCAGTACAATAGGCGTTCAAACCACTCTGGTCACGCCTGTTGCTATACGAACTTGAACCATCTCGAGCATTATTTACTCTGTGCTTCAAGTCGCTGCTGATGACGCTGCTTCCGGCATCAGTTTTTGGTGTCTCTCTTCGTCTGATGCCTACCCTTTGACCTGTCCAGCAAGGGAGGCCCTGCCAGTAGCTACGCTACCGCTGGTATAGCTCTCAGGGTCCTTGGCATACTCAAACCCCCTCACCACGATTAGGTGGAGCCACCAACGAGGGGGGTAATTGAATATATAAGACTAAATAGTACCCTCATTATATTGTAATTTTTACGTGTTGGAATTTGGTCTTATATCTCTATGTAAGCCAGATGTCAATGAACTTACATATAAGATAAATGTCTGTACTCAGTCACAACTCATCTGATTTTGTCATCACACTAGGGTCACTGGTAACATTCTGCTTCAGCAGAATTTTATGCAGTGGATAGGGAACATGGGCACTCTCACATATATGATCAGGACACTGCATTACTCATTCACTCATCTGTAATCTGTCAAGATGACAGGTCCACAGTCTCTTCCAAAACAGTTCCTCCACTTGATGTGATCTAGGGCTTTCTCCATCAAATGAAAATATCCTCTTCTGTCCCCAAGGTCATCCAGCATCTTCCTACGTATTCTTCCTTGTCTTCTGGTCACTTCTATCCGCCCCTCTATCTTTCCTTCGATAACTTTTTTTAGAAGGCAGTTTCTGCGTAAAACATGACCAATCCAATTAGCCTTCCNTTCTTATTTCATGTAGGATATTCCTCTGCTCACTGACTCTAAATAACACTTCTTCATTTCTCACATAATCGGTCCAACTGATCTCCTCCATCCTTCTCCAACACCACATTTCGAAGCTTTCCAGGTGTTTCTGATCTACTGCATTACTAAGAGTGTAAAAAATTGTGAAGGTTCTGTAGTGACACATAGTAATAAAAATGTTAAGAAATTGGGAAGAGTACAGCTGCTTATGTCTTACAGTCATAAGATAGTTATTCCAGTGCAGAAATGCTTTTGTAAGAGATGTGGAAGTAGATTAATGTATTAGTGTGTTATACAGATTGTGCTGACCTAACCATCCATGAATCAAGTTTGACTGAGGATTTATCTCTCCCTTGACAGCTGGATGTATATATTTCATATGAAGACTGCAGAGCTGCAGAGGAAAAATGAAAGAGATTCCTTGGTAAGGAAGCCAGAGTGGTAGGCTGAATATGAGGTGAAAGGGTATCAAATAAGCAGTGCAGATATGGCGTACAGTGCAATGTGCTAAATGTTTAAGTTATGCTGTATATAGTAATTAGAATGATCTCATAGAGAATGGTGTACATATAATTTCAGTTTAAAGTTATCAGTGATATTTGAATGCAACAGTTATATTTTAGGTGGAACTAGAAAACTAAAATTAATTTCCTTTATATCTTCTAGAATAAATATAACTTGTCCTGAATTGTATAAATTTTATCATTTATATGTAATCATTTTCATTTTATTATAATTAACAAGCAACATGGATGATAAATAAAAATCTTAAACTACTTGAAATTAATGTATTCAGGCAGCCCATGTTCAATTTTATCCATTTAATCGGAATTTTGAATGGTTTTTCATTAATTTTCATAGAAACCATTTCAAAGCTCAGTTTTTAATAAGTTAAATTGTAGTATATCAGTGTACTTTTGTGATTATGTATATAGCAGTTCCTTGCCAACTGGTTTTGTCAATTGTGATTTCAAGTATCTGGATCTTTTCATTTGTGTCCAATTTAACCAACCACAGTATTTGGTTTTATATACCTGTGGTTTTACCTTGTGCAGACAGGGAAAAACCAGCAACACTAAGAGGCCCACATTCTGTGGCGTCACTACCAAAATGGCAGCTGAAACCAATTTTCTCATTTCAAGAGTACAATTTTGGCATGTCTTCTTTTAATATTTGTTTATGTTATGTTTAATTTAATTTTAAACATCTTATTGCATTTGGTATTATCTGTGTTTATTGATGAAAGAGACAGTTTAATTAGAATTTTGTAACTGTTACCAGTGGCCATACAACATCCAAACTGGTTCCGGGGCCCACCTAGCCTCCCATCCAATGGATAACAGTGGGCTCTTTCCCCAGGGGTAAAGTGGCCCAGGTACTCACCTCCAGCTAGTGCCATAATCAAGAATACGTAGATCTGTACATTCACTCCCCCATAAAATTTTATTGCATAGTGCTTAATAAGTTAAGCACAGGGCAAGTTTATCTTTACCAGAGGCAATAAGTCCCACAATTTCTTATATCACGTAAGGCCTTGATCGTGCACGTGGCAGCGTTTTTCAGGCGCATAATTCTGTCAGTTGAAAAGAAGTTATCATTAAGTTCTGTCATTGAAAAGCCATAATAGCTGTAAACTTTTGAAATTATGCCAGAAGAAGTTTCTTCCATTGATCTTATCAATCACATAATAAACACAGAGAAGTCAGACCAGAGGAGCCCATGATATGTGATAGGCAGTACTTATATGACTGTATTAGTTAAACCTTTGGTAAACTTACGAAAAATATTTATGAATATAGACCTATGGACTGTTCTCATTCCAGGCCCTTATAGATTCTCGATGTGATGGAAAGATAAAACCCATGCCCCGAATGAAACTCGACTCCATTCCGCCCATAGTCGATAATATTCTCGCTTTTTTATTATTGTTCATGTTTTTAGAATAGTGAAGTCTGTTGTGATGCACTTAGCCCAGATGGAGAAAGACGTGAATTTGCACCAAATGCTTATCAGAAAACCTCACGGAAAGTGGGCATTTAGAAAATAAAGCAAGAAAGTAGTATTCAGTTACATCTGAAAGAAATACTGGAATTGAATTGAAATGGCTGGTATCAGCTCCAGTGGCTGACAATATTGAATCTTCTCATTCTGCCACAAAAGAAGTGACAGTCAGTTAGCTGCACTACAATTATGTTAGACTTACTCCACCGTCAAAATTACATTTAATATATACACATTTACGTGCCGTAAATCTACGACACGGGACCCACGGTTTAAAGTCCCTCCCAGAGGACTTGTTCCCTGAATTTTTCCGCCCTTAAAAATTCCACGACCTCCGCCGTGTTTGAACCCGTGTACCTTGAGTCATGAGGTGGGAACGTTACCCCTAAACTACGGACTGAGAGGTGTGGAGAAACAGTTGGAAGCCAGCAACAGAAGGTGAGAGTAGGTGTAATATATTTGGGAACCCATGGGTACAAGTGAGTTCCAGTGAAATGCCATTGGTGAATCTGCCTCTGAAACATGTACACAGAAGTTCCGGGTTCAGAATAAACAAACGTAGTATGTACCAGTGGCGTAGCATGACTACCGAAAGCAGGGAAGCAACTTTATATACGTGTATATAAATTTTTTCTACATATCCTATAGTTTCTATCTTCTATTTAAAAGAAAACAGCTAATAGTTTAATATGTATTCTAAATTTAAGGTAATATATTAAAATAACACATAATTATCAACACAATTTTATAGCATCAAATGAGAGGGCTGTGAACCTGGAATATAATTAATGCTTACTTTATTGTTTATAATTCAGCTCGATTCTTCTGTTTTTCTTGGCAAACAGATCAATAACCTCATCTAGAAAAATGGGTTTGGACTGCAGTTTGTTTAGGAAGGACTTTTCAATGTTCATCAAAGCCAGTGATGACAACCTATCCTGGTTCTGCGAATTTCTAGTAAGCACGCTTAACTGCAAGGTCACAGATTATTCTACTGCAAACTGTGCCTTACATCTGACAACATTGCTGGAAGCACGAAGCTGGTAGCATACCATAGCGCATAGCTCACTTACACACAACACTGACATTGAGTCAGCCAGTTAACCCAGGGGAGGGTGGAAGCGAAAGACCTGCTGCTTCCGCGGGTGTTGCAGTTTAAATTTCCCTGCATTTTGGAAGAAAATAACTGATCTATCCTGATAAATTGTCTATGTAACACATTAAAACTTGCAATATTCTCATTATATGTAATATATGTTCTCAGATTAATTAATATTTTGAAGTATGAAATATTTTTTTGAAATTGAAAAATTGCCAGAAATGTTCTTGGTTGCTTTTCTATAGGGAAGCAATGCTTCCACCACATCCATGTACCCTACGCCCCTGGTATGTACATATATGCTGTATGAAATGGTTTTTATTTATACACACATACAGAAACACGAGAAACTGATGTAACATGTAGTAAAGAAAGTACAGGGAGAATACTGGAGAGCCTACCAAAAATCTTTCCGGAGTTCCATGAGCTACTGGCAACAGATCGGTCCTCGCCGATTCAGGCTGTGGGCGTGGTCGGCAAACCAATGACCTATACGCGTTACAATTTCTTTTTATTATCACTCCAACACATCGTTAAACATTAGCTTGAAGCGAGTCTATGCGTTATGCGCCGGGTCACCCGCAAAACCGGAGCCTATGTTGTTACTGCTACTATATTTGACCTTTGCCATATGCAGTCATGAGCGGTCATGAGTAATTCGTGTCGTTTCCTGTGTCGAGGTGCTGTACATGCGTTACAGATTGGTGCAAGAGGTGTTCATGTCTGTTGCTTGTGTGAAGAGTGACTATGTAAGTAAAGTAGCAAGTCGCTTTTGACATAAATTTCAAGATGTTACTCTTCAAAATAGAGAAATAGGAAATAAACTATTCATACAGCCTAAACTAACTTCAGACAGAGAGATAATGTCGTTATTGGTCCAAAAAAGAAACGACTGAAATCTCCGAGCTCTCTCTGAAAAGTTGAATGAAATCAGTGCTAGGCTTGAACATACCCTCCTAAAATCCCTTAGACACCTTGTATAGGCGGCCAGGCTTTAAAATTTCACATTTCACATGTTTCGAAAAAAGAATTCGGCGCGTTGATGTCAACATATTATGAGGACGCAGGAAAATTTTGCGTAACAGCTGGAACTATTTCTGGCATATGCTGTGATACGAGTGGGTTTCGTTTTGGTCTGTTGGTTGATTGGCTATGAGTCTGATAGCGCTGATAAAGAAAGGAACTTCTGCCGGACTGGCTGAACGACTAGCGGCATGCTCTCAAATCCCACACACACACTGTACTGCAAAGCACTTGTTTGGCTTCGTATAATAGTTCTGATAGAAGACGGCAGCTGCTACATTTACACCACATAATAGTACTTGTTTGTCAAGCACGTCGATTTTCTGGTTTGGTGTCAATAATTTTCTAACTTCTTTTGCGGGAGCACCACTACGTTTACGTTTTTAAGCCATAGTATTCCAGGGCAAAACAATCAGGTGCTTTGTGTTTAAGAAGGAAAGTTATTCCGAGTTCGTGAAATGCACGTTACGCTGTTCGACACCGACCGACATTTTCTCAGACACAGTTACTACCACTGGATGCTGGGAGGTAGGCATGTGTACCTGGATATCAAATCTGCACATGCGAACCCGTGGATAATCGAAACTCAACCCACTGTTGTATAAAATGACTAAATATATATCATGTGTAATCAGAACTGTATTGAATGAGTTATTACCCTACCGTTCTGTAAGGAGCTTGGTCTACAAGTAAACGCAAAATGGAGGACAGAGTTATATCAAAGAAACAAGGCCATAAAAAGGAATGTTGCGGGGTTCAAGAAGATTGGAGATGACGGGATAAAATGAAAATTGCATTCGTGAAGAAGTTACGGGCAAGTATGGGAATGTTTGCCACCATCATTTCAAAATCTTCTGTCTTCCAATCTGCTACGTAAAAACACGAAGTTTAAAATTACAATTTTACCAGTAGTTTTTTTGGGTGTAAAACTGGGTTCCTCGCTATTGTATTGTAGGTATAATGATGAACTTCATAATTCGTGCTCCTCACACGATACTATTATGATGACTAAATCAAGGAGGCTAAATTGTGAGGGGAAATGTAGCACGTATGGGAGAGAAGAGAAATGCATACGAGTTTTGGTTTGAACACATGACATAAAAAGACATCTTGGAAGACCAAGTCTAAATGGGAGGGCAATATTGAGATGGATCTTTAAGAAGATGAATAGGAGGATGTGGTCTAGATCAGAAGAGGGACCAATGGTGAACAATGTTACTAGCCTTCAGGTTCCGTAACATTCAAGAAGTTTCTTTATTATCAATTACGTGCCTTACAGAAAACACTGTGCTCCATGGGGTTCGTTCAGTTTAGAGCTTCAAAAGTGGGATACACATGAAGAGGAAAGGAATGAGGTGACGTGGGTAGCCTGTCTTGCCTTTAGTTACGTTTCTCTGCTCCCATGTTATTTCTTTCAATTTCAAGTTGCAAATAACGTGCATAACTGTGCGTATTGTATGATTATCTATTCTATAATGTTTTAAATTATGGAGAGTCTTGACGTTCATTATCTAACGTTGCCGACTACCATATCATATTTTTACATGGTGCATTATGAACAAGTCATCCTGTGTTGCCATAATTCGCCAGCGTCTTTACATTACTGACTAAAATTCCATAGGTCGGTGTCCTTGATATCTGATTCTCGACATTTCATGCAGTGCAAAGCTTAATTACCGCGTGAAGAAGAGTCTGTTACTGCACCGTATTCAGGACCAGATGAATCCAGTCCATACCGTATTTCTTTGAGATAAGTCTGCAATTTAACACACTCTCTTTTACTCTTGGGTCTCCCGAGCGTCTTTTCCCTTCACATTATTTTAATATACTTTTGTACGCAATTCTCACAGCCTCTATACGTGATTCATGTCCGGTCATCTCATTGGCTTGTACATACTAATAATACGAAGAGAAATGTACAAATTATGAAGCTCGTCACTGTGTACTTTTCTCCATCCTCTTGTCACTTCCTCTCTCATAGCCCCAGATACTCTTCACAACACCCCGATCTGTGACACCCTCGCCCTCTGAATGTCATTTAGGCCAAGTGAAATTTTGTACACTTAACGAAAATATATATGACCTGTTGCCAGAAGACTCTTGTCGTACTTAATTTGTTGCCAAGCTAATACGCACGCTGTAATAAAGCCAAACTTTTGTTCCTATATTGCGTTAATTATTTATTATACCGAAAAGCACATTGCATGGGCTCGGTGGATAGATCATTTGGTGAATAGGACTGTTTCAAGGAAAATGTCCGTCGACGTTATCTGTGGCGTGGCAAACGTTGCTGTTGTCTGAGTGTTCCTCTCGACCCCTCTCGACCATACAGATGGCGTCGAAAGCAAATTGCTGGACGGACAGAAGAGTGTGTTTGAGTTGCACAATTCTGTTTTCAGGCAAGCCAAAAACAGGCAGATTTTTAAACACTCATGAATGTTAACACTTCACTTTAGATATACATGCCTCATTGAATTACAGTTTCATGCTATTAATATTGAGATTAAAACGTATTCACGTATTCCAAGCGTCCATTTCATTATTAGTAGACTGTCAGTGGTACCAGCCGTTGTTATGTGTACAGACGAGTTCACATTACTCGTGCTCGTGCTCGTGTGCGAGTAATGTGGACGATATGACAAGTCACGATACAAGTAAATTTTTAATTTTTAATTTAAAAACTATATCCAGTAAATTAAAATACGACTACAGCCTATACACACTACGAGTAAATATACGGATCCTCACGCGCCGAAGCCTGGCGAGCAACTGAAGTAATGTGGACGAAGATTTACGAGCACAAGTAAAAGCCAGACGAGTCTCCCGACGATCACGAGTAATGTGGACGCGCCTTATCAATGAACCATGTCTGGTGAATCGGCCCTCTTTGGGAAACTTTAAAAGTTTTTTAACGAAGTTCCCAGTAAAAAAGTAAAGTAAAGCTATCTCTGTACCAGGCCGTGAAGGCCCATAGGGTTGTGAGACGTTGAGGGTCCCACATTATCTAGACAATCGGCTCACAGATGGCGGTAAGGTTGTCAGCCCTACGCGCCGGCCGCGCTTTACTCCCCAGGAAAATTATTTAATTAATTACATCAGATTGCCTGGGGATGTCAGTGGGCAAAATGTACCATGTCTGATCGGAACAAAGTACGCTCCTCTGGAGCCATGTTCACAGTAAGTGGCTGCGGAAGCCTTGTCTAGGGAGGGATTCGATCTCCTACCAACAATTTTAATTCCATCGTGTGTTAGTAGACTCACGGTTAGGGAATGGTTTAAGGACAGGCACTCCCAACACTCAGTTGCCGCACCAGGTATGCGAGAGTTGAAACAGAACAAACAGATTCCGTGGTTTTAGTCCTCCAGCGAACTATACTGTCCGAACGACCACCGCTTGTCGACGAAGTTAGTGCCAACTTTAGCGTATGGAGGGTATCGCGTGGTCAGCGCAACGAATCCCCACGGAATTTAATTTCAGTTTTCTATACCGGAGCCGCTATTTCCTTGAAATAGCTCCCTAATTATCCTCACGAGGCTGAGTGGACCCCATTCCAGACCCACTACTTCTCAGAAAATCTGATAGCGCCGGGAATCGAACCCGGGACCTCTGGATCTGTAGCCAGGAACCCTTGACCACTAGATCACAGAGACGGTCCGAGAGCTGAAACTGTTGAGAACTTTCGGATAAACAGTCTAGGGGCGTATTGGCCTTGGACGGTAAACAGTGTAGACTGATAACATTGTTTTGACTGGTCACTGCTTCTTAGAAAGCTCCATTTCCAGGAAATGTGGACAGGAAGGTGAATGCTCCTACCACATGATCTTTCAGTGTTCACCACCCCTCCTCAAGTCAGTGGAAGCAGAAAGGTTGTGAGACTAATGTCGCCTGTCTCCTCCTGTATACATTTTTTTTATTGCTAGTGGGGTGGGACTAAGTCCCTTGTACTGCGCCCACTTCTGGTCTATTGTACCAGCCCCAGATGATAGTTGAGGGTGTTTATGGAGCAATTGGTGGAATGAAGATTGGCAGGGGAAACCGAAGTACTCGGAGAAAACCCGGCCCAGCGCCGCTTTGTCCACCACAAATCCCACTTGACAAGACCCGGGATCGAACCCGGGCCGCAGCGGTGGGAAACCAGCGACTAACCGCTTGAGCTATGGCGTGGCTCCTATATACACGTACATACTCGTAAATAGAGGTAAAATTGTTCCCATGTTTAACTAATTAAACACCACGCCATGGAGATTTATGGGAGAGTAGAGGTGCAGCTTTACGCCCCAGCCTCAGAGCACCCGGTACGCATTGAATAGGAGGCTGGGTGGGCCCCAGAGCCGGTCTGAATCCTTTGGAGTAAGGAAGCATATCTTGTCCCTACCGGGAGCCGAACCCCGGCCGTCCAGCCCGTCGCTATACCGACTGAGCTATCCTGGCTCATATATTATCATCCGTAAAGATGAATGAGTATGGAGCAATGCTGGAGTGTTACAACGGGCATAAAGACATACGCTATAATTTGTTGCTATGAAAACCAAATAACTTTTGCATTTAATAATTGCTCCATAACTAATATCGCAGTGACGTAACCTTCATATTGACATATTTCGACAGTACACTGACACAGTTACTACGTGGTTATCTCAGTTTATTGCTACGTATGTAGGTTTATCTGCACGGGCAGATCTGCCTTCATTTTTTTATGCACCGTTTCATTTTGTATGTTGATAC